ACGTTTTTCCACCAATTCCAATCAACCGACTTGTATTATTTTATTCGTGGCTGCGTCGACAAGCAACTACTTATATGATTACTTGCGTGTGTTGGAAAAGTCGAACTTTGGACGTAATTGAGTAGTATCTCGGTAGACGATTCATTTCCGCTGACGGTTTGGATATCGCGAAACGGGAATTGGTCAAGTGTAAAAAGGCGAGCCCCCATGCGCATTTTTTGGGAGATTGGATTAACTGGACCACATCCGCCCTAGCCACACCATGGCCCTACCTCGTCAGCCAACTCTAGTCCAACATTGCCCAATTGGGTCAGACTGGGCTGGGTTGGGCTGATGCTGGCAGGGTGAAGTTCGCGGAATAGTTGTCCTGGTCGTAAGATAAATATGTCGATGAATGCGAAGGCAATGAGGTGTTCTACAATCAATTTTTGCTGACAAACAGCGTTCCTTACAAGAGAAATAACGATAACACCTGTGAGAATAGAAACAGAATGAAAATTTCCTTCTTGCGAGTTCAAAATTTAAACGATGCAGCGCGTCGCCGTCGCCATTGTTGTACCTTTAGAGAGAAATAAAAAGACCTCACGGTGACTGCTACTTCGGGAGTGGATAAGCTGTTTTAAAACAATGAACGAGTTAAGGGCACGATTATATAAAGGCTTAGACAGCAAAAATTGTCCGTTTTGCAATCTACGAAATCACAAAGGACCAAGCCCTGTAAGCCGGAAACGCTCCTGCTACGACAACTTTCGGAGTTTCGGGGTTAAAACTCTCTTGGTAAAGAAATGTTGAACGGATTCCACTATTTTCGGCTCAGCAGCAAGCATGAGGATAAATAAAACGAACAGTTCTAGTTAGCAAAAGTAAGCGATCCGGGTTGATAATCTAAGGAAGATGAAGTGCTCACCGGATCGCGAGACTTGGTTGGCTTGTCGTAAATGGTAATGTTCTCACGAACTAACGAGTTATATCTCACGAGCCCCTAGCCTTAAATGCAGCAAGTAAATCGGAGCAGTGAATAATATAGAGGTTTTTGAACGCTAAGAAAACTGACAACAGAATACCACAGCAGAGCACGCTAGCAAGGCGGGTTGTCCTGGTGTGTCGTTTCTCGTCACATTCAAACAAGCAATGCGGTCAAAGGAAATGGGACTAAATTGTCAAAGGTAAATTAGTCAGGTACCTCACCACAGTACCCCCCTTCTAGACCGGAGGGCGACGAGATACGGCGCCGGAGGATATGCACAAGTCTAGAAAAAGTGGGTAACTAAACGATCGGGAAAATGAACGTGACGGCCACTGCGAGTTATGTTTGCAGGAGGTACAGTCGAAGAGGGTTGACTGCGTGCTGTGGTGGACGATGGTGTTGCAGTTGGATGCTGTTGACATGTAGGGAGAGGAAGTATGCGGGACGGAGGGGTAGAGGGCAAGGGAGGGGAAGGGCAAGGCAGTGG